CTAGTGTGCTGTTGGAAATGTCTAGTCATGCACCTTTTAGGTATAAAGTTGGTTTTACAACCAAAAATATTGAACTTATTGGAGTTTTTATGAAATGTTGTACAACTCATAATGTAAAATTTTTTACGCTCACTTGTGATATATAATTATGTTTAATATTAAAATAAGAGAACATGTTTATCCTTTTAAATAACACAACTTATATCCTTTCACTCTCACAAAGAGGTGGAACCTACACCTTTATTTTTATTTTTTTGTCAACTCTCTCTCCTCCTTTATCTATCTCTTTATCTATCTTAAAATGACACAAATTTACATCCTTTAAAATGACACACACTTTTCCCTTAAAATAATAATAAAAAATAAGACAAGATTATTTTGCATCTCTATACAAATAAAAAACTTAACAAATAATCATTGCTTGAAATTTGATAATTTAGTTGACTCTTGATTATTATTTCTTTATGTTAAGTTGAAGTTTTTTTTTTTCTTTTATTGTTTATTTTTTTTTGTTTTTTAATGCATTTAAAAAAAAATTCAGCACTACTAAATGTGCAGATATAAATAAAATTTTCTGAATCTGCTATTATTCTCACATACGAAGTTAAATCTTTTGGTCCAGTATTTTGAATGTTGTATTTGGTTATCACTTTAATTAGTCTTGTTTTACATTTCCATTTATAATTAAGAGCATACTTGTTTGCTAGTCCTAATCAAAGTTTTGGCAGATTCCGAACATTAAAAGTGGGTTTAAGTGACCCTAATCCTCAACCGCCTACCCACACGGTAGCAAGAGTATTAATTAAGTAAAAAGATGTACGTCATTTTAAAGAATGTAAAGTTGTATTATTTTAAAAAAGAGAAAGAGATAGATAAAGGAGAAGAGAAAGTTGACAAAAAAAGTAAAGGTATATGTCTAATTTATTTATAAGAGTGAGATGACATAAGTTATGTCATGTAAAAGGATAAACAATTTTTTCGTTAATTAATATTTGTTTAATTTTCTCTCCTCCTTAATTGCATGTTCTACCCAATAACTACTCTATTTTAATATTAAAATTCTCCACTTAGCAGGACACGTGCCTTGTTTCTTGAAGGCAGTTTCTTAAAAAGTTAAAAACAAGTGAGATGTTACGTGCCAAAAAAAAAAAACAAGTGAGATGAATGGAATGTCAACACGTGCGAAAAAGTTAGACACGTGTCTTAGCAATGTGTGAATCGGTTGAAAATTTTAAAAGTGTACCAAACTTTCATAAACTCGAATTAGAAAGAAAACCGGAAGCAAAATGCATGGAGCTAATGTGTTTAAGGAGACACATCAATCTTTTTCATTTGATCCTTTTCTCTTTCTCTTTAGATTAGCATTAGCCTTTAGTATTCGCTTTCTTAATTGTTTTTTCAAAGTTGCATCAAAGTCTCCTTTTCCTATTTTCTTGTTCTGAGACACATCATTTGCTTCCAAAACACAGGTCTGCAAGTTGTCGAGAGTCAATTTAAGCTTTTCACCAACAAACAAGTTTCGATGCGATCTAAGACCCGAAATCGGAAAATAATAATAATAGAAGAATAAAAAGCCTAAATTCAGTTGTTGTCAACTACTTAGACCAATTATTGTGCAATTTGTTTCATCAATTAATATGTACTTAAAAACAGCCAACTCGTTGAAAAAAGGGTTATTATAAATAAAATGAATGTGGATGTCCGTAAATAAAAAAATAAATAAAAATAAAGTATAATTTTTGTAACTCCTATGAGTTACTAACATATAATTACTAGGATTCAACATTATTATTATGTTAATTGTAACTCATTACAGTAAATGGTCTATTAATAGAGACCAGATACAAACATTGTATACTAAGAACACAATGCAGTATATCAAATGGTGGTAGCTCAGTTGGCGCATGGGAGCTAAGCAGGTGAAGGTAAGAGCATGTGTTCGAATCTCTTCAATACCATCTTTGGGAGAAGTTTAAAGCCTTAATCCTGATCCCGCCCCGAATTGGATTAGTTGCGAAACAATGAAATATTTCCAAAAAAAGAACACAATGCAGTAGGAAGTTATCTCTACTCTTTTCTTTACCTCTTTCTATCTCTATTATTAAGGCCCAATAAAGGACAACACAAAAGAAAAATCATATTAATGACAATCCTATTATGATCAGTGTTATTAAATCTGACCCGGGCATCGACCCAGTCGGAGTATTGGGTTACTGGGTCACTGGTCGAACCGGTTGACCCAGATATATATAGATATATAAAAATATGAACATATAAATTCAATTAATGAATTAAACAATGTTCATTAAATAAACTCAAAAACAAGAAGTATAAATAAATAAAAATGAATGTTATTACTATGTCAATTTAAATTGCAACTCAGAATCCCCATAAACATACCTCTCAATGACATTGAACTCATATTTTTCAAATTCATCAATATTAAAATGACATATATCACATTCTCTTAATTTATTATTCCGCAAATTGCTTCAGTATTAGAAGCTAAAATTTGAGGTCATTGTAGAAGAGTATACTAGCAAATAAAATTACAAAAAGTTTTAAAATGAGTTCTACATTTTTTTTGACAAGATGAAACAATTTTGGTTTTTTTTTTTAATACATGACCCGACCGGGTCACTGGGTCACCGGATTTGGCCAATTTTATCTGGGTTTTAATTGGGTTTGACTAGGTTGATGCGTGACCGGTCCAATGCTTAACCCGAACCGATCCGATGACCGGTTCGCCGGGTTCCGGGTCGACCCGGCCGGGTTTTACAACTATGATCATGATAGCTATACAATTGAATATTGGGCTCCTGAACATGTCATTAAAGGCCCATAACTTCAATACTCATTGGTAAACTCTATAAATAAGAGGTTTCCTACAAGTATGGCGAATCTCTTTCCTACTGTTATGTTGTCACTGTGCACACACAACATTCTTTGAAAAACACCATTCGTATTTGTGCACAATGATCTAGCACCTCAGGGTTATCTCATTTATAGAAATCGCATAGAGAGTACCAAATCCAAAATAAATCCACTAGCCCTAGACAAAACACTTTTGTCATTCAGACAAAACATGTTTGATCCTAGAAAAATAAATAAGTGATTTCAATATACTCCTTTCGGCCTAAAGTGCTAGTGAACATGTTAAGACAATACTTTCTAGCTAGAAATATTACACAGAAGCTTCAGCAAAGAGGATCAAGTCATCAATAAACATTACATGGAAGATTAAAGGCCTCCTCCTACCTCTTTAATTGGTTTTCAAGTCTTGTTACTTAAAGCATCAACTATCATATGTGTAAGTTTTTCCATGCACATGATAGAAAGGTAAGAAGACAAATGATCTCCTTGCCTTATACCTCTCGTGGCTTTCTTTATATAGTTTAATTTCTATTTCAAAGTATATTGAATTTTGTTGTCGTGACACATTCAATAATCACATTGATCATGTGTTCAGGTAAAGCAATTTCCTCTAGAGCTAATACAACTTAATTATGGATAAATTACTTCCACTTCTATATTATATATATATATATATATTATGACTGAATTGGTTTAATTTTGATGGAATTAAAAGAATTAAAATTAATACCTAAATGGATTGGAAGTAGGTTGATTTTAGTAGAACAAAAACTAATTTAACTATTTATCTTAACTCATTTTATGAATCAGACTCATTTTAGTTGAATTATTAAATTAAATCAGACTCATAATTATTCTTAAAAAGAAGATTAGAGTTATCTAGTTAGAGATAAAGAAAGAAATTAATTAAAGTTAAAAAAAAAGGTTAACTTGACTGTCCAACTCAATTTACTTTATAAATTTATTTGTGTCAGAAATATATTAAATTAGACTCATACTTATTCTTTATAAAAAAGATTGGAGTTACTAAGTTAGACATAAAGTGAGAAGTTTAAGCCACTGGAATAGTAGCAGGGGTTTGAATAATTTTCATGAGATCACAGATTAAAATATCAGCACTATCATTATATTTAAAAAAGAAAAAGTGAGAAGCTTAAACCATTTTAATTGAATAGTCTTTTTTTTCAAACGAATTTCCATAACCGTAAGAATCTTTTTAACGGTGCAAAATCGAATGGATCTTATTTCACTGCCATGGAAGTACATTACTTTTGCTGATAGCCGATAAATACATAAAGAGGAACGAGACAAAGATACCCCCGTACGAAAGTGACAGAAAAATGACCTAAAACAACCCTCGTTTGATTGGTTTTATTAAATAATTATAAAACTTAATTTGTAGGTAAGCTCAGTATTCAAAAAAAAAATTATATAGTGATATACGTTTTTTTTTTTTGGATACAAAGTGATATACGTATTTAAGAAATGAGTTTGGTGTTTGTCATTTTAAATGATATAACTTATGTCATTTTAGGAGAGAGATAGACAAAAAAAAATAAAAATCATGGAAAAGAGAGAGTGGATGATTTTTTTTAATTTAAAATTTAAAGAAAAAAATTTATTTTGTATCTATCTCTATTTTTATCGGTTCATCGCTTTGCAACTAATCCAATTCGGAACGAGTTCAGAACTAAGACTTTAAATCTCTTCTCAAAAATGATACTGAAAGGATTCGAATGTCTGTTTTTTTTTTAAAATAACATAATTTTATGTCATTTAAAATGACAATCACTCCTCTTTTAAGAAATAGATAGAAAGGTAACCTAGTCAGATAAACATGTTTGAGTCGAGGAAAGCCGTCCATTGAGCATCACTGTTTCCAATCGCTTTACGCCACGTCATTATGGGTCGACTTTGAAGCAAAAAGGTGCTGACATGGAAAAGGGTGGGTGCACGAGACGAGCGTGCTACGGGAATCAAACACGCAGAAAAAGAAAATCTAATTGAGGCCACAAAGAACTTGTGGCCAAGAATCGAAACCTCGGTCTGACGTGGCATCCCACTCTGCTTTAAACGGATCAAAATCCTATTCGACATGCCTCCATTGACAATTCATTTCAGATCAACACAACACAACACAGACCAAAACAGTAACGCAGTTCTCACCAACTGCAAAGTTACCATCTCCTACGTTTGGATCCCCACAAAATGCAGGAAAGTAGAGACCCTGCAATCACGCTCTTCGGTCGGAAGATTCCCCTTCCCGGCGATGGCTCTGACTCGCCGCTGGCCATCCATCTTAACGAAGAAGAAGAAGTAGGACAAGTTCCAATTGAGGAGAAAGACGAAGGAGACAAGGTACGGTTGGTGTTGTAGTGACTCACAATATATATAGATACAAAGCATGTCTTCATGTTTTTCCTTGTCAAGTTGTTTTTCGAATTAAAAAAAGCATATCTTTTTATTTATTTATTTAATTTCGATTGAAAATTGGTGTTATGAATGTTCCCAATTGCGAGATTTATTGTTAGTCCATCAGTTTCAGTGTTTGGAATTTAAGTAACACACTGTTGAAAGACAACTTATTAGATTAGATTTTTTTTTAATATAATTTTGGTTTACAATTCCAAAAGCGGTTCTATATTTCTGGTCAAGATTTTAGGTTTCGTGACCTTGCTAAGGAGTTGGAGTAAAGTTTATTTCCAGCGTTTAGTAAAATTGTCTCAGATTCTGATCTTTCTGATTGTGATTTATTTTGTTCTGTTTTTTTTTTTTTTTTTTTTTTTTAAACATTTTCACGTTTTAGAACTGATTACAACAATCTGCTTAACAATTTCAGTCAAATTTGTCCGAGGAACAGGAACAGGAACAGGAACAGCAATATTTTCTTTTCACATCAACTAGTTCTATTGTTTCAATTCTCAGTACTTGTAAACTGTCTGGTCCTGTTTAATACCAGTGTTTTGTGTCGGTACAGTCCTACTTCTACCCAAATCTCTCAGTCAGCTGAATACTGTACTATGTGGCTGTACCTTTATTAACCATGTAAAAATTATAATATTTTTCTCTTCGAGTTTTAGTTTTCAGTCCACAGCTAAGTTATCTAAATATGTCCTTGAATTCCTGAATCAAAGTATTTTCTTTGTTTATGGGATTGTTGTTTTATAGAATATGTCTTTTTTAAATGAATAAAACAATTGGGTACTTTATCCTGTGGAATAGGGAAGAATGTTTTAATTGGTAATTTTCGTCGGACTTGTAGCTTTCGCTCTATCAATTGAGATATATACACTCTGCCATAGATACTAACATAAGGATAAAGCTTCTTAAGTATTTTTCCACAAAAAAAGGAAGTTTTTTTTAGTGTTTTTTTCTTCCAAAAATAAACTGATACATTTTTTTTTTTTTTTTACAAATTTTGTTCCTCCTTCCCTCTTGCCGCTTGCTATTTTTCTTAGTGTTATAATGTCATTTCGACTCAGAAAATTGTGAGTTTTTATATATATCATTGTTTTATTTCTGCAATTCTGTGGTATTAATGTCATTAAGCAAAACATTTTGTCAAATTACTAGGATTCTGGAGCTGAAAATGTTATTGAGAAAGAGCAAGAAGCTGAGCCTCCTTCAAATGAAGAAGAGATTAAGAATTCAGGCACATCGCCCGAGGCAATCGTGAACCCCGAAACACCTGGCATAGAAGAAGAAACTGTAAAATCAAAAAGTGACAAGTCAGAGAAGGAACAAAGCGATGTAGCCAACTCACAAGAGAAAACCCTGAAGAAGCCAGATAAAGTGATACCATGTCCCCGCTGCAATAGCATGGACACCAAATTCTGTTACTACAACAACTATAATGTCAACCAGCCACGTTATTTCTGCAAAGCATGTCAGAGATACTGGACTGCTGGTGGCACCATGAGGAATGTACCTGTGGGGGCAGGAAGACGAAAGAACAAGAACTCTGCCATGCATTATCGCCACATCACTATTACTGAGGCTCTTCAAGCATCTAGAATTGATGCTCCTAATGGAACTCATCTCCCCACGTTAAAAAGCAATGGTAGAGTCCTCAGCTTTGGATTAGATGCACCTATTTGTGATACCATGGCATCTGTCCTGAACCTTGGAGAGAAAAAGGTTCTTAATGGCACAAGAAATGGGCTTCATGGCTTTGAGGATCAAAGATTTCCCGTTCCTTGCAAAAGTGGGGAAAATGGTGATGACTGCTCAAATGCATCTTCCATTACGGTTTCGTGTTCCATGGGAGAAAGTAACAAAAGTACCTTCCATGAACCGTTGCTCCAAAACAATGGTTTCCTTCCTCAACTTCCATGCATTCCTAGTGTTCCTTGGCCTTATACTTGGAATTCTCCAGTTCCCTCACCTGCTCTGTGTCCTTCAGGATTTCCCATGTCATTCTATCCTGCTGCTTTTTGGAACTGCGGCATGCCAGGGAATTGGAATGTTCCATGGTTTCCCTCACATTCATCTGCTTCAAACCCCAAGTCTCCAAGCTCTGGTCCAGATTCTCCAACTTTGGGGAAGCACTTGAGGGATGATGACATGATTAAGCAAGACTCTCTGTGCAAAGAAGAACCACCAAAACAAAGAAACGGGTCTGTTTTGGTTCCCAAAACGTTAAGAATTGATGACCCAAGTGAAGCTGCAAAGAGTTCTATATGGGCAACTCTAGGAATTAAGAATGAATCAGCCAGTGGGGGAGGTATGTTTAAGGCCTTCCAACCAACTAAGGATGAAAAGAATCACGTTGAAGCCTCTTCAGTGTTGCGGGCTAACCCTGCAGCTTTGTCTAGATCCCTTAATTTTCATGAGAATTCTTGAATGAACACCCTGTGAGACAGTCTTGATAGCAAGGTTAGTCGATTCTCGAGTTAGCAAGAGATGGTGACCATCTTTGAATGATGGTGGTATTGATTGGCTTCATGATAGCAGCGAAGGGTGTTAGTCTCTAATTTGCTCCGCTTAAGTGGGTAAACTAATCTACGAGGACGAGGAGTTTTAGTGAGATGGGAACTAATTTTGTCTTTCTTTTCATTTGACACTATGAATAGAATAGGTGCCTTTTTATGTGCTTGGTTTGCTGAGTTTGAGTTCATGTAAATATATAAACATATGTGAAATACTGGCCTTAGCGTAGAGATGGAAAAGATCTTTACTATGTATAAAAATCCAGTGGTGCTATTTTCCTATGAAACGGGGTAAATAGGCCTTCCTTTTTTTTTTGTGTACATGTTTTGGCACTGTAGAAAAAATTAATACTTCTCTTTGTGAGGAGTTCCCTCTCTCCTTCTGTCTGAACAAGGTATCTGCTTTATGCAAAGAGTCGATAATAAAATTACAGAATTAGGAAGATATCTACAAACAATACAACCAAAAAAAGTAGTGGATAGTGGCTGCTCGTCATGCTCAAACATGTCGTATGTCTTGATATAATGCCAAATAATCAGTAAGCTACCAAATGTTAAAAAAATAAAAATAAAATAAAATAAAAAATAAAAATGGAAATAAAGATATGAAGATCTCTACTGTTATGATATAAATTAAGGGTGATCTTTTTATCATCCTTTATTGTAATATGAGAGGATCCACTTTTAATATTTTCTTTTCATTGTAATATTGTGCAAAGTTATTCATGCAAATATATGGAAGGCATGGAAGCAAATTAAAATATTAAATAATCATTTGGTGAAATTGTTTAATTTATTATTTAATTTATATAATTACATGTTGCCTCTGAAATTCCCTTAATCAGCAAAAAATGGAAAAATGGAATCGACATGTGTCCTCAATCAATCACGGAAAACATTCAGATATTTTCTCATATTCAATCTAATACAAGCCACAATTCGGGTATAAGATGAGTTGTGATGGGACCCTAAATGCTAAAAAATGACACATTGATATCCTTTTCTTCTTGTCACACCCTACTTTTGACTTTTCCTCCCTTTTGCCCTTTCCATATGCTACGAGAAAGCAACCGCTGAATTCTTTTCCTCCACAAGCCTATGCCAATGCCAAATTTCAATAATTAGGGGAATTAAAAACAATAAAGATAGTTCGTTGGAAGTAAGCATCATCGCCAATTTCTAGCCATAACTAATTAAAATGACTTGATACAACTTTCATAATCTCTAAACCGCAACCTCCATTCCAAACTAGTTGTGCCCACATATTATAGTTCATTTACCATTTTTGGGACTGAGTGGAAAAGGAGACTTAAATTGTGTTGAGTGTATACTAGTCCCCTGAATCTTCGGCAGCATAAAGCCATTCATGACTAATATGACCCGAAGAGTACATAGTACTGACCAAACTAGCAAGTAACAACCAAAGAAAGATAGAGGTTATCCAAGCTGCCAAATTCACTTACCAAAATTTTAGTTTATTAATAAGTGTTTTATAAGAGTTATGTTGTATGAAAAATGATTGTATAATGTCATAGAGATTCGTTTTACGTGCCGTAATTTTTTTTTTTTTATTTTGCTTCAAAAAACGTGGGTCCTACAAAATATTGTGTGTGTAGAAAATTTTCTTATGTCATGTTAAATGATAAATACAAACCTCTATTAATAATGCGTTTTAGCCGGTTTAACAAATCAAAGTGCGCTTCTTTACTGAAAGAAAGAAAAAGGGAAACGAAGATAAGAAAACTATGTCTTAATCACTTCCAATTGGATCATATCAAATAATGGAAAAATTGCTTGCCATTACGAGAGTGCTTCGTGCTTTAGACCATCCATCTGCAAATGGTTCAATTCAATTGGTCCCTGGAGTTCAGTTTGCTTGAAGTGCTTGACACTATTTAGTGTTATATTTGAAATATGCATTTGGTTACCCATTTTGGCCTCTTTTTTCAACAGAGAATCTTATATATTCCAAGAGTATTATACTCAATCTAATAAAATGCATGATACATAGATTGTACAATCATGTAAATCTTTGAATTAAATTTAAAATATTGTTTAATAACTTTAAATTAAAGCCATAGCCATTGAGAATATCACTCTAAGAGTACATTAACAATTTTCCTTTTCATCGTCAGCATTATAATTATAATGAGAAAGAATAAGACACAGCCACTTGGTCAGGACGCGGTTTAAGGAAGAATAGCCACTTATCATTATAAAGTTGACTTGCTAGGAGAGTAATACCGAAGGAAAATGACAATTTTAAAACTTCTCAAATATGTTCTGAACAAATCCAATGTCAACGCTGACCAGTAGTCAAAAGTTTTTTTTAAAAAAATAATCTATTTCTCGGAGATAATTTTAAAAAAAAAATGGTAATATCCAATGACAATTAATTGAAGCACAAAGAGTGTCAAAAGCTCACTTTTTTAGTTAATATCATAAATAAAAGAAAAGAAAGAGGCAAGAGAACAACTGTTTGATGGAAAGGCATATGGAAGAAAGTGTGCATGTTAAAGCATTGCTTTTATTTATAAAAAAAAAAAAAAAAAAGCATTGCTTTTAGATAGAAAGGCACAAAGAAGATCAAGAGGTAACCTCTTTTCCTTCATTAAATCATGTGACTAAGACTATTTTGTTCAAATCAGAAAAATACCATAGATTCACATTGATGCAAAACAGAAAGAGTTTGAGTACAACTATACACCGGAGCACTAAGCCCTGTTAAACGAAAAGGGACAGATCAAGGGAAATAGAATGTTAGGCAAAGTCCTCCAAAGAAAAATATAATTGTTAGGCACATTGTAAGATGTAACCTAGCACATATTCGGACACATCAAAATTCCAAACTAGGATCCTTATACTATAATTTAAGGGATTAATATTTCTTATATTATAGTAGATAAATTTTATCTTCTCCATACACATAAAAGTATATAAAATCTATATTTATTTTTTCTTTCTTCTTCTCATATAAGCCCAAATGGACCCCACACATTTTTATATGTATGTATAGGAGATAAAATTATCTCCTATAATATGAGAAACACTAATCCCATAATTTAAATAACGAAAAATTAAAAATGGAACCGGAAAATTGCCCTTTGAATTATGACAATTTTGCCCTTCCAAATCAGCGCTGCTCGAGAGAAAGCCTCAAAAGAGTTTTGGAAAAGAGGAGGATAAGCATAGCAAGACTTGAATAAATTAACTTAGATGACAGTGCCATTTTTTTGTTTGCAGTTTCAACATGTCTGTTCACAAATGAAGCCCCAAAAAAGATTTGTGAGAACGGATAGCTACAAGGCCATCATCTAACCCAGAATCAACCATATAATATGAATAAAAATGTTCATTGGATTCTACATCCCCCAGAATCTGGTCCACGCCGGACATTGCCATAGGCTGACAGTTCCAGAAGATCCATATCACGACCTGTAATGCATCCGGTACTCCATCAATAAATTTCCAATTACTACTATAGCTAATATGCTCATTATAGTCATACCTGAAACCCTGCAATAAGAACTTTTCTGAATAAGATCAGCTTTAGAGATCTCTGTTCGATTACCCTTTGATCGATTGACTGTTGCCTGAAAAGACATGGAAAGAAACGTTTATCAAATTAATGCAAAGCAAATCAAATAGGGGAACGGATTCAATCACTCATTACTTTTGCTCGGAAAGTAAACAAGAGCTTGTAACATAATTTTACCACTTGCATCCAAACCATACTGGAACTAGGAGTGAATTTTAATAGTAAACCTAAACTACATGAAAGCTGACATGAACAAGTCAACTGGAAGAGGGAAATTATGTCAACACCTAATAATATTAATGACAACCGTTGAGGGACTCATCCATATAAAGTTTGAAAGCTATACAAAAATAATGTAATGGAAGAGACAGGAATAAATGTAACATGATTTGAGTTATCCAAATGCTTTTATCCAATTGAGCAAAGGTACCACTTTTTTGGGAACGAGCTAAATATATGTCATAACTACTAATCCAACTTCACCATAACCACAATTTGAAAGCCATATCGAGAAGCCTGTTTCTCCCTACTTATATATGGCTCTGGTAAAGATATACATCCAAGTCTCTGCTTAGTTCAATGTCCAGAAATATGTTGATGAAATCCCTTAACACATCCCTAAAAAGTGGTTCTTTTATAAAAGAAAGATGACGGTTATATTTACAAACTAAATAGTTTGTAAATATAACCTCCCTCTAAAAGAAAACTCCATTTTAGAATTGTAAATAGATAATCCATAACACAGAATAAGAAAAGATGCTTAAGAATGATTCCATTAGCATGGGGATGATTATCTACTTACTAGAGTAAAAAAAACTGCTTATATCAAGTTTACTGGCATCATTGTAGCATAACATGATAAGGCTCTGTTGAAATATGTTTGAATTTAAAGATTAGTGTTTCCAGGGTTTTTAAAAAAGCCATCTTGTAAAGCTTATTCTACAAGAGCCCCTTACCGCTCCCAGCCAGGTTCTTTCTCGAAATAAAAACAGGGAAATAGAGAGAAAGTGAGAAACCTTACCTGTAACACTTGACAGTTTTCCAGCGTGCTTTTCCCCCCCTGTAGTTCACAAAACACCCAAATGAAGAATAAGCAAAAGAGAAAATCAAAACCAAAATGAGTAGGTAGCTCAATGATGTCATGATGGTCTCTTGCTGACATGCATATGTTTGGATGTTAAGAAGGGAAGAAATCAAAGGAAAAAGGAAGACATGGGAATGGAAGAATTTTTTTATTTTGGGGGAAGGGGGTTGTTCAGGAAAAGCTTTTCCTTTCTTTTGTTTGGATATTTATAATCCTCCAAAACTGATGGAGCTTTAAAATGTTCATAAAAATGACAAGGACGGCGGTTTGGAGGATCACATAAAAATCACACATTATTGTCTTCTCCTTTGTAATAAACTTCCAAGTAAGAAGATGGTTTAACTAAAACTTCCCGTCCCCTACGTTCTCTTCCTTTCTTCCCCGTTGAAACATAGTCGCAGATGTCTTACAAGTTAAAACCTACTGAGATTTATAGAAAATAAATACTCAAAATGCAGCACAGCCTCAACGAGGACAACTTATGTTATTCATCAAAGGAAGCCAACAGCAATTTCCATTGATTTTGTTTCTCCACTAATGTGGGAATATGTACTATATGAATCATGCAGATGAAAGTGCAAGATATGTTCTTCTCCTAACATAGTTTGGTCATAGTTCGAACTTGTCTCTTTGAAGAACGCTTAATGCTTCCTCTATCCCCCATGTGTAAATCACGGCCAAAAAAAAGGAACACAAAAAGGGGGAAAATGAAGAAGTGGATTTGATGAGAACTTAGCTTTGGAAGGTGAGTCCAAACTAAAAGTGCTTTTAATGGATCTTTCTTTCAGAATAATATAAACCATTAAAAAGGCTATCACCAACACCTTGAGATTTTGGGGTTAAAATAATTTTTTACATGATATCAGAGCTTAAGTGACCTTCACAAGGTCACGAGTTCGATCCTCACCGCCCCATTTTCTGGTGGAATTAAAATAAAAGCAATAAATAAAAAATTGGACTTGTGCAATATCTACTCTTCAAGTCCAAAGAGCTCTTGAAGAATAATATAAACCATTAAAAGGCCCTCACCTTAAGGTTTTGGGTTGGAATGGTTCACGGAGATCGTACACAAGTTGAATTTCAGTTTCACATTAATTATTTTCATGTTTCTCCTTTGGCTTGTCTACATTATTTGTGCATATAAGTTTCAGTTTCATTTTGAGTGGTTTTCAGTAAAGTGATACACACCGATTCAAAGAATATAAAAACAAGGGAAAGGAAAGTGCAACCGGTCAACATAACCTAAGACTAAGAGAGCTAAAAGAATAAAGAAAAGAAAAAGAAAAGGAAAAAACCTTAGAGTAAGGGAGAATATGATCGTAGTCATGACAGAGACAACCAGGGCAACCTACGAGCTTGCGGAAAACAATGTTACCGAGGGGGTCCCTGCGCCAACGATCGGGGTCTCGTCCTTTGATCTTGTCGGACTTTTCCCAACATTGCTGTTTGACACTGTGGGGGAAGCTTCGAGGGTTAGGGTTAGGGGAATCGGGAAAGAGAGAGGTGGTGTCATACTCATCATCGAGAAGAGTGGCAGAGGGTGAAGTGCTTCGTTTGGATAAAGAAGAAGACAGCTTCGATGAAGTGGTTTTGGATCGGTCCTTCAGCCCTGAACTCGCACTTCTTCTTCGCCTTTCTTCTCTGCTACTCGAAGCAGCAGCAGAAGCAGAAGCAGAGGGAGGATTCATTTGCCTTATCCACTTTCGTTTCGGTCATACGTTATTTTACGGTAACTGAAATGAAATAAGGGAAATGCTTTTTTTCCTTTAACACGAGTCAAGATTTTATTATTACACATGCATAGACTTTCGTGCAAACTTTTTTTTTTTTTTAAATTGCTGCTCCCACTTTTTTGTGTCAGTAGGAGACAACTCTTCTATTCTGTTAAAGGAGAAAAGTATTCTCCATTAAATAATGGAAGAGTTAATATCTTCCTGGTCCTTAGTAAATTTTACGATATCCGCTTTAATTCCTAGCAAATAAAAGGTCTATCGTGATCCCTAAAAAATTTAAAATTAACCTATTTTAGTCCTTTTAAGAACTAATATAGGTCTTTTTTGAATTTGTGAGGGATCATGATTTTAACTAAATGGGTCTATTTTGAATTTCTCATGAACCAAGATGAGTTTTTTATTTGCTAGGGACTAAAACGGACATCGTGAAATTTGTCGAGGATCAAAAAAGATATTTATTCGTAATGGAATTTAATGTACGAAATTATATATATTTTCGGTGAAACAAACTTTTTTCCGTATAAACATACAAATTATTATATTAAGTATAATTAATCAGATTTCAATCAAGAGTATATATAATTTATAAACAAAAAATTTATAAATATAATATTTTTCATATTTTTTAGGGAAAACATTTTTATATTAAAAAAGATAATTTTTCTTTTTTACACAACTAAAAAAGGTGGGTCTCTCGAATTTTTTTTTGTTTTACAAAGAGTGAAACTCACATATTATCTTTATGACATAAGATAACTTAACTTTTTAATATATGATTAATAACATCCATTTTTTTACTCAGGGAATTTTATGTTGAATGATATTTCTGATCGATTATTTATCAATCATGCGACAGAATAATAGGACGAAAACTAGAATAAAAAAAAAAAGGAACAATAATCTTATTTTTTTTTGGGATAATATTTCTTATATTATCGAAAATAATTTTACCTTTTATACATATATAACAAGTATATGGAGATCATATAAAGAGAATAGAAAAAAAACATAAATCTTCTATGCTTTTATATGTGTATGAAAAATATAATTATCTATCACAACATAATAAATATTAATTTTTTTTAATTGTGTGTACACAAGAAATATTTTTTTCTCCTCCTACAGTACTTTTTGACTTTGGAGTCGAGTCTCAAATTGAGAAAAAAAGAATAAAAAATAAAGAAGGAAACAAAAGTGATATTAAATTTTGTTTTCGATGATAAAAAGGTAGGGGTGTTCATCAACCGATCCAAACTGATTCAAACCGCAAAAACCGAACCGAAAAACCGATAACCGAATAAACCGAAAACCGAAAAATCGGAAACCGAAAGAAAACCGCAAATTTTAATTGGATTGGATCGGTTTTCGGATGGGTTGATGAAAACCGATCCAATCCAAACCGATCCAATATATTAATTATTCTCTACCTACTTGTCCTTTCTCCAATCATAGCCCAAAAATTTCTAAACTCAAGACCCATTAACTCATAAACTAAACACAAAAAAAAACTTAGTCACGTCTCATCAACTATAGTATTGTTTACTGATATTTTTGTATTTCAATTTTTTTTTTACAAAGCCAATATATACAAAAGATGTTATTTGCACAAGAATCATGAAACTAATTTTAGGATATTCAAAAAATCGAAAACCGATCCAATCCAAACCGAAAAAATTGGATTGCATCGGATCGGATTTGAAAAAAAATCTAAACCGGATGGATGATTACATGATCAAACCGAAGGAATTGGATCGGATAAATTTTGCTTCCAAAACCGATCCAATCCAGACCGCGAACACCCCAAAGGTGTCCTGTTTTGGATGTGGAAACAGAACAAAACGTGGCAAACAGAAGCTGAATGGGAGAGGGAGAGAGAGAGAGAGAGAGAGAGAGAGAGTTTGGGTTCGTTGGTAGAGAAGGTGTTCGTTGTAAACGCTGCCAACAAATAGGGTCTGAGAAATCTGACCGTCCATTTTCAAATTTTGAGCTTGGCTGGTTCCCCAACTCTATCCACCGAAATCACAGCTACACCCGTCGTCCTGCAACAATTTCTTAGCTCTTAGATTTCATATCCATCTCTTTCTCTCTCTCTACTCTGCATGTCTTTCCTGAAAGAAATATAGCTTCATTTCTTCGCTCAATTCTTCAGTTACCTCACACCCTCCTCTGTTTTCAATATTTCCATTCACTTACCCTTAATTCTTCTTTTATACATCGTCTTCAGTATATAACAAGGTTCGCTTTTGAATTTTGGATTTCCCTTATTTTATTTTAAATACTGGAATATAGTATTGTGCCTTGGTTTTCAAGCTTCAATTTTTTATTTGATATTTGGGCTTGTTCTTGGTTATTTGTAGCTATAGAGAAACTCAGGATAATTTCAGTGAGTTGATATGTTCAAACAAAAATTGTATTCATCAAAATTTTGTTGAACTTATATCATGTTTCTCTTCATTGTCTGTAGACAATGGGGGCATATATGTGACCCTTTAATTGTGTTTACTCTTGATCCTACATTTTCAGGATGGGAAGAGTTAAACTGAAGATAAAGAAATTAGAGAGCACAAGCAACCGACATGTGACTTATTCGAAGCGGAAAAGTGGAATTTTAAAGAAAGCAAAGGAATTATCAATACTATGTGATATAGATATTGTTCTTCTCATGTTTTCTCCAACAGGAAAGTCTACATTGCTACAAGGAGAGCGCAGGTAATAATGATGATGAGTCATTTTGTGTTGTATTGAGAGGGAAATTGTTGGTAATCAATTGAACATTTATCCCTTAGCGGAAGTACAAACTACAAACCCTATTATGATGTGCATGCCTTTCTATGAGACAATGATGGTTGGTAACACTGGACATTGGTTGGCATATAACTCACACCCAACTTCAATGGTTTCTTGTGTTTAAATTATGTTGCAGTCTAGGCTTTTCTTGTTTCAAGAAACATAGACAATCTTTGCTGTGTGTGAAAATCATCTTTTAGAAGCATAATGAGATATTAGTTTTATACATCTCTCATGACTTGTGCACGTAATTCTATTAAAGTATTATTTTAGGATCAGGGAAGTCTCCTCACAGGCAAAAGCTGAAGTGACTTGCTTAATTGTAACTTCTGTATGATAATCATGAAGTGAACATTCCAGATTTGAGTCCATATTTTACTGCATTTCTTTTATATGGTGAATTTTGGAAAACAAATTTGTTTTTAAATTTTTGAGGAATCAAGAAGTACATTTTGTTTTGAGGACGAGTCTTGGAGCAGTGGTAAAGTTGCTCCTTGTGACCGGAAATCACCGGTTCGAGTTTGGGAAACAGCTTCTATGCAAAAATGTAAGGGTAAGACTGTGTACAATCGACCCTCACCCGTACCCTCGGAGCCTTGTGCATTGGGGTTTGCCTGAGAAGTACATTTTGTTTTGATTATAATTATTCAGTTTATAACAACATTAGAGCCTGTTCATCAATGTTTGGAATTCTTCCTCTTAACTCTCTAGGCTTAGTTGTATTGAATTCAGTTGTTAGATCTGTAATGTGTTGGAATAGCTCGCACATAGATCGTTGCGTTGTATATTCGTTGTAATCTTCTTAATACTATGGGGTTACTGAGCATGAATGCATAAATTCGTTAGTTAAATAACTTGTGACAGTTTTATAACATCTATTCGTAAGTTTAACCTTATCTATCTAGGAGTATTGGACTTTCTGGTTTTGTGTTTACTTGTAAATAGGGATGCGAGGTGCCCATGGTCTGTTCTGTGATTCACAAACCTGGGCTTATTGGTGATTTAAGTATATCTAGTACCCTGTCAATGCTGAACTTAAATTAAACTAACAACAAAAATAAGTGCAATAATTGAATAATTGAAAAGGAAAATAACAAGTCAGCAACTCCACTATTGTCTGTACTAAACTGCTGTTTTACTGGTTTGTCTTGTTTGGTTTGATTTTTCTAACGCCCCTACTGCCAAATGCCTGAACCAAACTTGGAAGTTCAAACAGCTGTGTTAATTTTTTTCAAGAATGTGGAAGAGGACAACTTCCTTGAATCTTGAGGATTTGTAGGATATTCATATAAAATTCATCTTTAAAGTGTTAAAATGTCAAAAGAAAAATGTTAAATCCATGTCAGGTTTTTAATAAATCTGTATATTGGTTATTGTTTCCAGCAATATTCAGGAGATCATTGCAAAATTTGCTCAACTTAGCCCACAAGAAAGGGCCAAAAGGTTTGCCAAACTTTCTGCTGAAGTTTTATGTTTTTTTTTTTCATTCGTTGATGATAAACCAGCTAATCTCTTTTCTCATTTTAATTGAGCAGGAAAATGGAGAGTCTTGAAGTAAGATTGCTGCTCTTCTCATATGCCTTTCATATATACTGTTTTTGTTGCATCAACTGCATATTTGATGTTGTCTCAACTTCTGGTGAAACTTAAGATTCTGGTTCTGTTTAAAATATAGGCACTGAAGAAAACCTTCAGGAAGCTGGATCATGATGTAAAAATACAAGATTTCTTGGGTTCAAGGTAAGTGATTGTGAATTTGTGATTGTCAAATTGTCGATGTCTTTTTTGTAAGGGCTTTTAAAGGGTCTGAGTTTTCCTTTTTCTCACTTTGCAGCAGTCAAACCATGGAGGTACAATTTCTTAAAAAACATCATCATGGTTAATAATATCTTCATAATCGTAAGTTGGTAGTGAAACAACCAAAAGTTCTGAGCTGAGTTGCTACATGCAGGAATTAACTCATCAAGTGAGGGTTTTACAAGCTCAGCTCTCAGAAGTACATCAGAGACTGAGGTGCAACTTTGGAGCTTTTGGTTGTTAAAGTATTTCTTTTTCTTTTTGGTGTTATTTTATTGCTCTCTCGTTGAACTATTATTCTTTTGGCCTCTGCCTTTCAGGTTTAATGCTTTGCAAGAATTGAGATATTTTTATGCCCCAATATAACATGCATACGTATCTTTTCCTTGTGCATTTGAATTTTGGCATATTGCTTTGTGCCCTAGCATGTACACCACATATTCTCATTCATATGATACCAAGTGACATTTCTCAGGCACATAAAACATGTCTGGTATAAATTTATTTTAATTTTAGACAGGTTTATATGGTTGGTTCTAGTTCTGTGCATTATGGATATTTTTGGGATGTATTTGACAGTTGAGTTTTCTTCATATAAAGTGATCAATTAGAGCAATAACAAAATAAAAGATAACTAGTTATACTACGAAGTGTCATTCTGTTCACTCAACCAAAAAACACCATCAAGCCAGTGCAATTTAGTTGTTAAGTTTTGATGTGTGGCCAGAATATTATAAATTGGTGAATAGTCTTACAAATGGGATGGAGCTTGATTATAAACATTATATGCATTATGCACTGATATTAGTTGATAATACATGTATCAACTAAGATCAAACCAAAAAATAGGAAAGAACTGAAACAGAGGGAATGATATTGATCTGTAAATATGGAGAACAACCACCAATACCAGGAAATTAAAAGAAAATGGCAGCAGAATGAATGAACAAGTAAAAGTAAAGTTTCAGAGCAATTTGAGGAGCTCTGATGACTCTCCCAATACTAGGACAATATTCTGGATATCTTCTCAATTACAAAACTCTATTATTTAACTGCCAAGACCCCCCAATATTTTCACCAATTTTATTAGCCACGTTGGCAGCTGCATGATTTGCACCTCCAGAGAGAATATTCTCTCCTAACAGATTTATGCTAACTCAGCAGAAGGAAAAGTTCCCCAGTGGCATTTTCTAAAATAAACCTTCAAAGGTCTATCAGTGTATTTTTTAAGTAATGGCTCAGAAAAATCCACTCAAAGTCCACCTTTTGTACCACATACTCTACCATTTGTGAATGTGGATTATACATCAGTTTTTATCACAGCTTGGACTCTTTAGGTTTTCAAAGCATATGTAAACCATTATAATGGTTGACTTTCCTTAAATCTCCAGATTTTCCCTCGTAAAAACAGTTCCATAAGCAATTGGACAGAGGCTTGCTTTATAAATTTGAACAGTTCATGTGCATTAAATTTCACCGAACTTCTACCTTGACTTCCCCTTTACCAGCATTAACGTGATCACAACACACACATAATACTATATAAAACTCATGCTGTCATGCATGTGCTGTGGGTCATGAAAGTTTGTGTGGCCATCAAAGAGTAATCTTGTTTTACGTTTGCAATTTTTTCAGCTACTGGAGTAATCTGGAGAAGATTGATAACTTAGAACATCTTCGGCAAATGGAAGACTTTCTCAGGGAATCAATCAATCGAGTGTGTCTACAGAAGGTAAGATTTTATTTTTTGTGTAGACTAGCCATATCATTCTGTCATCTTCAATGCCTGATACACCAGTCCATTAAATAACTACTGAAATATTTGGTTGGTATTTTAAGATGTCTACATACCTTAGAGGACCCTTGCTATTAAAAGATTTATGAAGTGACCTATCTTGACAAATTGTTTTCATTGGCAGGAAGATTTAGGAAAGCACCAACTAATGTCTGTTGAATGTGCCACCCAGGTAGTAGTCGCTGTACTCTCTCTCTCTCTCTCTCAATATCTCTTGTTCTATTCTTCAGGATTAATCTTATTTGAGATAATGTTGCTTCGTAGTTACAGGAAGGGATGACTTTACCCATGATGATGGCTAGTCTGCAAGAATCTCAACCCCTGTCTTGGCTTTTGAATAGTGATAACCATCAGTTGATGTTACCCAGTGAACCAAAATTTCTGCCATTTAGGTGGGTTAACTGCTGCACGAGTATTGCATTCTAAATTCTAAAGAGCTTTGTGCTACTTCCATACTAACAGCTATACACATTAACCAGCTATTAGATCTGCTATCTTATTGATATGTTTCATTAGACTAATAATTTATCAAATTTTCTTTCTAAAATTGATACATGTTACTTTGCATTTCATTTTGCAATCTAAATTACTGACTGAATCGTATATAACATACAGTGGTGATAATACCAACAGAGATGCTGAGTGCTCCACTGACATTTCACTCCCAGGCTATTCTGGTTATATTGGGAGTGGCAAACTTGAGGTTGGTGGCTCTTCCCAAGTCAATACTTTGGGTCAGGGAGGTGGTGCCTTGAACGAGTTAAATGGAACTGTTTACTCAAATGTACAGCGTTGTGAGCAGTTTGCATACCCTCCTCCACCAGATATTGAGGAAGTGAAGCATCACCAAACAATGAACAGTAAAACAAACACTGTGGATTACCAAGTTCATAACAGCTTTGATCTGCCCAGATCACTGTTTGAAAATGGACATCAGTTTTGGAATCCTGCTTCTGGGTCTTGTGAGATTGCCATGTATAATGAGAATGGCTACCATAGGGTAAGAAGTCCTTTTTTTTTTTTTTTCATCAGTTCATAGTCCAGGGTTGGTTTTTAATTTGCTAAAATTGCTCAAAAGTGGCCTGGGAGCACTAGAGCAGGAGATATTTCCAATTGTTCCAATTCTTTGTGTTGGCTTTTGGTTGGCCTCTGGTTTTCTAGTAAACAAGTTGGCTTTGGTTGGTTTCTAATTTCCTGTATTTTGCAGTAACTGATTGGCTCAACCAACTATACTTAGCTTTTTTCAACTGAAAGGACGTGATCAGTGCTTGCAAATTATCTCCACAAAAACCAGATCATGTTGCCATTCCACCTGAGGTCAACTACGCTCATAAGGGTGGTCTGTACTAGCTGTATATATTGTATGAATTATAGGATGCAGTTTGTCCACATACAAATCATCTTGACTGATTTTTTTTACTTGTAGATTTTTGGGATTGATTCAGTGATCCAAGCTGTAAATTTGAATTTTGTAGAAAATTAAGTAATTTTACATACACTGGAACTCGAGTGTAGTGGTCCTAGAAAACTATTTCTTGAAGTAAAATGTTTAATTGTTCAGCAATTGGCTTGAATCTAAAAAACAACATAAAAAAAACATCTTAGTTCCTCTGTACATGAAAATAGTTGATTCTTTACGATCATGCCCAAATCTCTCAAAATTCATCTATTCAGGATTACAAGAGAATGACACAGGTTTTCATGTCAATGGTTACAAATTTAGTTGCCGCTCCATGTTTGGACAATGGTGTTGTGCCATGGATCTGAGAGATGTTGCAAGAGGTTGTCAAATGGCCCTTTGCCCGTCACGTTATGCTGAACCAGAAATCCCAAGAATGCCAACATTGCCAATCTCCCTATATACATAAACATATATAAACACAAAAGGTTAGGTCCACATCACAAAGAAAAAACTCTTGAGCAGTTTTGATGTAGTAGAGAGGGGGAATGAAGCATTTACCATTGGCAATTTCCTTCTCTTTAGCCTCCTGAGTTGGTGCAAAATTCAAGGGGTTAAAAATGCCACCAGGGTATCCAACCTCATTTGGGGGTAAACTGTACTGCTTAAAGATGGGGTCCTGGTTGACACTTCCAGGGTTCTTAATATCTTGCCATCTCCTGATTTCCACGTAATGGAACAAAATGAACTCAATCACAAAGAGGGTTGAGGATGATGCAAAGTATTCTTCTTTCCCAGCATCATACCATTTGGGGACATTCATGATACCAATATTGGTGAAGACTTCAGGAAGCAACATTCCTGCAACACCCAACATGGCCCAACGTCCATTTACAAGCTCAGCTTGAACAAACCACCTCAAGTTCTCAGGGTCCTCAGCAAGCCCCAGAGGGTCAAATCCATTATCACCAGGAAGACTAGTTATGGAATAAGACACAAATATCAACAAGTTAATGATTATAGCCAAAAAGATTTTATTCAACTTTCATAGAACCAATTCCAAAATAGTTAGTATATATTATACGGGGAAAGTTAAAAGTTATATTTACATAATTTTTTTATTTACAAATTCTTACACACTACACTAAACATGAATGACCTGTCATGCTTCAAGAGTGTATCATCTGTCATATTTAGTATAATTTGTAAACGGATCTCTCCCCGAATTATATTACATACCTGCCATTTAGATAACCTGGGGAGGCCAAGCCTGGTAACCACTCTCCTTTCCTGGCTTGAACCTTGAAAGATGAAAATGAAGGAGACCCTATTGGTCTAACACTAACAGCCACTTCCCTGTTTAGTTTAGTAGAAGAACCAGTAAGGAATCTTGATTTGGAGGCACATGGCCGGAAAAGGGTGGCAGAAGCCTGTGTGGTGACGGTGGCCATGTTTAGTAGGAAATGGAAAGTGTGGCTTGCAGTGGCAATGGCAATGGCAGTGGCTGAAAAACACGATTTCATGATTTGTATTGCCCTTTGAAGGAATTCTTGTGGTTCTTGCGCCTTGTGTGTTATCGACCGTTGCTTCTCCTGATATTTGAGATCGGACGGTCAACATGCATTTTGGTTTATCCTTTTGTCTGGTTGTTATATCCACAACTCTATTTCTTCGTTGTTATTGGCTGTGGAAAGATATTGTGGGGTCATGGTGTGCCGCGTCGGAATATATATCTTCTAAGTTCTAAAGCTAAAAAAAAAAAACAGTCATGTACAATTGTATCCAATTATTGCTAGACACCTGGCTGGGCTTGTATTCCATTTTAGCTAAGTTATACATTGTTACAAACAATAAAGCACGAAACTTTAAAAATTCTAACGTGTCATATTTGATATTTTTTTGACACTTACTTATATTTTCGACACTCCAATACTTGTTACAAAGACTCAAAAAAAATTCAAAAGTTACGTTGCGTTAGCATTTTGAATTTCAACTATTAGATTTGTTAGATTACGATTACGATTTTATTGAGTTTAATATAAATATTTGGGATATATTATGTTTCTTTGCAAAATTGATGAGTATTATAAGTTTAGCTTTATTTTTTTGTTAGCAAGATAGATTCCTTATCATTAATCAATGATAAGGTCATGCCTACCTTCCATATCAAGTATACCAAGTAGCTAGTATCCTTATATTTTTATGGGTATTTTGACTTTACATAAAATATAAAAATATAAATTAAAAATGCATAATTAATTCAAATAAAACTTCAAAAAATAAATTTAAAGAATATATTTCAAATTATAAAGATATAATAGATAATTCCTAAAAAGAAGAAAGCATTCTGCGTAAGGAATCCAGAGAGGGAGAGAGAGAGAGAGAGAAAAAAAAGCTTTATGCGTAGGCAAGAAATGGCACAAATTCTGACAGTCATGGAAATTTTGTGTCACAGTTAATAAGGCAACCAAATTTAAATTGTGAATAATCAATGAAAGGCACTTGCTTCTGTAAATTAACGAAGTAAAACAAAAACAAAAAATGTTTATAACGTAAAATCTGCTACATAATGGACTCCTGAAGTTCTAATAAACTGTGAGTGTGACATTATTTCTTTTTTTTTTAGTAGGCAGTGTGACATTATTTCTTTAATCCTTAATTTGGTGTGTTTAGGGCGTGAGATTTTGAAAAAAGGATTTTTTTTATATCTTATTTATTTGAAATTTTTTTTTTTTACAAAAATTAAAACTATTTTGCATTTGGATAGTACATGAAAAATATTTTTAAATAAATATATTATTTGGATGTTAAAATAAAAAAAAAATTATTTTTCATCTATAAAATTACTAAAAAAGCCATAAAACAAATCATAGGAGCGAATTTGGTTGTGGTGGAGGGGGTGATAATGATAGCAGCGGCATGGTAATGGCAACAATGACGGTGGTATAGGTGGTGGCAACGACAATGATACGGTGGTGGCGACGATAACAAAGGAGGTAGTGGTGACGGTGACAATGGAGGTAAAATTAGTTGGAGTTGGCATTATAGTAGTGGTGGCGGCGATGATAATGGAGGTCGTGGTTGGTGGCGGCAAGGGAGGTGAGATTGGTTGAGTTGAGGTAGGGTATGACAAGTTTGGATTTTGAAAAAAAAAAATTAGAAGCTAAAATTTTTAGCTTTAAAAAATCCAGTTTTTGACTTTTTTTTTTATGATTTCTCTTTTTTAAAAAACAGACATCCAAACACATATTTTTAGTGATAATGAATTTTTTTTTTAAAAAAAAATAAATATCCAAACAAGCTCTTAAATAGTTGTAAAACATTAAAGAATTCACACGGCGAACTCAATGAGATTTTGCCTAAGGAAGTAAAACCGCCAACGGAGTTGGCAAAGCGGATAACCTGCCCCGCCTCCAACCCGCCTTAAAATAATCCAACTTGCCCGGTTCTCCTTTTGAAAGTAGGCTGCAATTTTCAACCCACCCCAACTTGCCCCTAACCTGCCAACATATTAAGAAAATGAATTTTTTTCCAAAAGCATACTCTTTGCTGAATATTATAGATACAAGAGGAAATGATAGTAATCCTTGTTGTATTAAACTACACAACATTGGTGCTATTATATAGCAAACCAATTGAAGAATACAAAGACACACTCAATGTGAGACTTCTACACTATTAACACTAACACTCTTAACACTCTCCCTCAAGCTGTAGCATATAGATCATATGCTACAAGCTTGATACATAAATAATACTCCCATTAGGAACCAAAAACAACAATGCTACATCAACGAAATGAAATGACTAAGTACAACAAATCAACTGGAATGACCATCAGTGTGAAGAGCTGATAAAGAGACAGTGCTGGAATGGACATCAGAGCATGGATGGTGCCGGAATTATCATCGGCAAAGACAACTGAGCTAACCAGTGCATCAGCATCAAGATCCCTCTCAGACATTTCATTTAACAGTTGATGAGCAGCCGTGGTTTTCCCTTGACTATGCTACAAGCTTATTACAAGAAAGACCAAGTAACACAACATCAAAATAAATCTCCTAAATGAGAAACCAAAATTCAACAATGTGCTAAAAATGGCGTCGAAATGAACATCAACATGGAAGATGCCGAAATGATCATCGGCAAAGACAATTTTGCTGGAATGACCATCAGCAACATGGACGGTGCTCCCCCTCAAGAGAAACTTCTAAATAGTGCCCGAATTATCATCGGCAAAGACAATTTGCTGGAATGACCATCAGCAACATGGACAGTGCTCCCCCTCAAGAGGAACTTCTAAACAGTGCCGGAATTATCATCGGCAGAGACAATTGTGCTGGAATGACCATCAGCAACATGGACAGTGCTTCCCCTCAAGAGGAACTTCTAAAGAGTGCCAGAATTATCATCGGCAAAGAAAATTGTGCTGAATGACCATCAACAACATGGACAGTGCCCCCCTTAAGAGGAACTTCTAAAGGGTGCCAGAATTATCATCAGCGGAGACAACATCAGCAACTTGGACAGTGCTTCCCCTCAAGATGGATGATGAATAGTATAAATACTCCATCTTGGGAAGAAAGAAGATTAAAGAAAAACAAAGCTTCGCGGAATCGGAAAAGTCGCAGGAGATGGCGGTGGGTCGTCGGAAAAGTCGTCAGAGACAGTGGTGGATCGCTGAAAAAGTCGCCGGAAAGTCATCAGAAAAGTCGCCGGAGACGACTGTCAACGGTAGACGACGCGGTCAACGGTGGGTCAGTCAACGACAACGGTGGTCAACCTAACAACTTCCCAAGGATCATTCTTTTCTGATGCGACAGATCAGTCTAAGCTGCAGTCACAGAGCATACAAAGAAAAACCCGAAAAAGAAATAGCAACGGGAATCCCTCAAGGAGAGGGATATCTCTCTATAACCATATTGAAATTATGGAAAATAGAACTAAGTTAAACGGATTAAGATTCCTCTTGTTAGGCTCTAGATACTATATTGAATATTATAGATACAAGAGGAAATGATAGTAATCCTTGTTGTATTAAACTACACAACATTTGTGTTATTATATAGCAGACCAATTGAAGAATACAAAGAGACACACTCAATGTGTGACTTCTACACTATTAACACTAACACTTTTAATACTCTTCATAGATATAAAAGATATCAAATGATGACAAAAGAAGTGTAAAAAATATTATTAATTGTCTGTCACGATTCGAACCTGTTTTGACTTGTCGTTAAGCGGGGCGGATTGAAAATCTCATCCTTAAGCGGCGGATTGAAATTTCCAACCAACCGTCACCATTTTTGGCGGGTTAAATTTTGCGACCCCTAAATTATCACCACCCACATTAATGAAATAATTTAGACATTATCCGATAATCCGAACTCTCAGGTTAATGGATTGTCAGATTTCAAGTAAATTTTCTTATAAATAATGGATTCAACTCGCCAGTTACACACTTTTAAAAATCAATAACCATCCTCTCACTATATCTTTTTAATTAATTTTTCATGAAAAAGGTCATAAATCTCCGGTCTGATGAAATGAAAGGGCTTTTCATTACTTCTTTGTCAGATTTTGACATCATGCGCTTAACCAAATATCAAGAAGTTAGTTTCGTTGTTCCAAGTTTCAACAAGACAAGCAAAAGAAAACTGGGCACATAGATACATTAATACATTACCACTACAAAAGTGTAGTCAACTTCCTGCGTGAATTGCCTGCATGGAAGTTATAAGAGTTTATTGAAACATGAATTTCAATTACATAATCATGGAGTGCCCTTAAACCTGGATAACCTGTTCAATAAGATAAAGACAATGACTTCGGAGGCGAGAATTTCAAATTCTCGTTTTTAGCCATTGAATTTCATGTTAGGAGAAGCCATTCATGTGACCGGAAACATAATTTTATTCATCTATGTCTTGCATAGGTTCTTATACAGAATACAATAACATATGGAAGCAAAAATGCTTCTTTTATTTTCTTTTCTTTTTCTTTTTCTTTTTTTTTCCGCTAAGCTAGAAAATACCATACTTTCATAACAAAAGTTCTGGAGAGTGATGAATGCAACCACTTCCATATCAATAGAGAGCAGAACAAAATTCTTCACAATCCAAATGACCAGGGCCACCTTAAAATAAGCCCCTCTCATTTATTTGCTCCTAATGACTCACTCCTTTATTATGTTACTCTTACTATTATACTACTAACCATAAATAATAATATAGTAATTTTAAGTGCCAAAACTTCCATAATGAGTACTAATTGTAAAGGGTTTATGATCCTCTCTGTCTCTTAAGGGAATTGTTGCCCTGTGAATGTCTGGCCAAAGGACCAGCTATGTGGGACAACATCGTAAGAGACCAAGGTGTGCCCGTCACTAGTGGTAACCTTAAATGATATGCTTTGTCCATTGAGGTAAGCGTTGTTTTGCCAGTTCTGACCCCAGTTCCTAGACATAGGTTGCCAATTAGTTCTTGAACTTTTGATGGAAACTGCTTGAACATCACCAGCACCACCAACGTTGGTGATTAGGACTAGGTTGAAATAAGAATGGCCATTCATTGTGAATCTAATGCCTCCTCTCTTTTGACATGGGACCCTGCGTTTTCATCAATAAAGGTAATCAAAATACTTGGTAGAAACATAGCTTTCTTAAGTCACTAGTAACCAACATGGCAAATATATAAAAATTATGACACATCCTGATAAGATTAGGGAAAGAGACCTTGAATAAGAAAAGTTAAAACAAAATCAGCTACCTTCTGTAAGCTACGGGTACTATGCCAGCACTGTATTGAGCTATTTGTTGGAAGACAGGCTGAGAGAGATCAAAATGTTTAAGGGGTGGGTTGCACCATCCACCTGCATCATTTGGGAGGGCATTGTTTGGTGGGCAGTAATTGGTGGCAGTGACCACAATTGAGCCTTGAAGGCACCACCTTTGGTTATTGACACACTTAATCTCGAAGCAAGCCCCGCAGCTAAAACCATTGTTGAACAATGCTGTGCTTAAAGCAGCCGTGTCAGTCCCATAGCCCTGGCTATATAAGTTTCCATATCCACAAGCTCCACCTGCAACAATGCCCAAAATGAAGGTTGTGTTGTTGTTATTCCCAAGCCATTTTTGCCATGCACAAGTTACACCATTTCTACTTTTCTACATAGGGGATATTAAGAATAAATGTTGAGGGTGACCAAATTAATGTTCATTAGATTTACAAGATATGATTTCTACTTTTCTACATAGGGGTTATAAACCAGTATATACTCTGAAGAATTTAAAAAAATGTATGAAAGAATCATTTGTCTAGCAAGCAGCTTATTGTGTGACATAAACATAACAGTAAATTGTGACATACCCATTGTGCCAGAGGCATCACCCCCTCCATAGAAGGTTGCATGAGCATCCATCCAACCATCACCGTCTGCATAAACACCTGATCCCAACAGAATCCCCACCAAGAGAAGGCCCAGAAACGCCATCTTTCTTGCACCTTAATAGAGAGGGAGAAAAGTGAAGCAGACAAGTTGTGAGGAAAAGCATAGTAGCATAGGTGGTGAATAAATAGATGCTGCTGTGGAGAACAGTGCTTTTGCTTAACCAAAGGAAATTGTGAAGTGTGGGGACTCTAAACCGCCAAGTGTAGCTGTTTCGTTTTTATGCGGGGACAGGACACTTTTTCCTCAAACCACGTGGTTTTGAACCTTTTTTGTGTTTGTTTGTACCCAAAACTCAAATAGAGTTAGAGTTTGCTGAGTACAAGTAAAAGCTGTCATGGCTTCTAGGGGGTGCAACAAGCCAAGAAGGTCACATTTCCCTTACACACTTGTTACCATTGCTAGCCGACCGTCAAGTAACCTTGCTGCTTCATACATGTGCTCACACTTGCTGAATTTGACCCTTTTCTGAAACATTATTCAGATTTCAGGCTAGAAGAGCTACATATATGATCCTAAAATAGACATCATCCATGCAGGTATGACAGAGTATATGGCATATATATAAAATATAGATTACATGGTTTCCAAGATAAATAGTGAAACCAAAGATTCTTAATTAACTGTTTAAGATCAAACTACTAAAATTATAACATTTAATTTATTTTTGTATAAGTTGTGATTTTCTCACGTGACCATATTTTTTTTTTTTCACACGAGAGAGTATCAATTTCTTTTAAAATATACTTTGTTAATGCATGCTAAGCGGTGTGTGAATTGTGATATTCGTTCGGTTATGCCGTGAAGACGTAAGGTTACATTGGGAGGAGCAAGAACAGCACATTCTCATTTATTACTCGCATTCCATTTAATGCTAATTGGTTCTTTGATAAGCTGATTTCACAAACAAGGAATTAAAGTTGCACTGGTACGTGGAGAATATTCGTATAAACTAGTTTATTCTTCCAAAAGTTAAACAATCTTTATCCATATGAGGGGTGTTTCTCCTTGTAGTTTATAATATAGTCCATGCTCCATTCTTCATAACCATACCTTCTACTTGAGTTCATAACCTTTCTTGCTACTGTGCTCCCTACAGAAAATTTCAACTGTTTCTTTTGCGATTCTCTTGTGATGAGTATGACCAGTATGCTTCTTACCAATCTTCTTTGTTATGTATTATGCAATTGCCCTATACAAAGTATTACCAATTGTTTAAAAAAACAAAAAAAAAGTGGAGATGCGGGGTATCGATCCCCGTACCTCTCGCATGCTAAGCGAGCGCTCTACCATCTGAGCTACATCCCCTACATTTTATTAAATTAATAACTACTTTAATTAATTTGTTTTCTATAGAAAACAATTTACATTTGAACATTTTATCCATTGGAGAATAAAAATTAAATAATATTTTTATAATAAAATATTATATATATATATATATATTATTCAATTCTTAGAGTACAATCGTTTAAAACATTCATCACTTTTTTAAGGATTTGTTATTTTTCATGTTATAAAAAATAAATTTATTTCCTATACTCATATAAAAGTATGCGAAACTTATATTTTTTGTTTTTATATGGACTCACTAAACTTCATACATTTTTATATGTGTGTAGAAAATAAATTTATTTCTTACGTTAATTTTTTTAGTTAATGACAAACGCTTTCAATCTCATTGCTGCCGCTCAACAGAGTTTTGAGAATTTTTTTTTTTTCGTAGACAGGGTTTTTAGACTTTATTTATTTATGAGAGTGTACCAAAAATCATTATGTCATGCAATTACGACTCTACGATGTTAAGGAGAAGAAAAGATATACTGGACCGGGTGCATGTGTACCTTGACCAAAAGTAAAAAAAAAGTAGGATATAAATGGAAATAAGCAAAATGACAACGATAAAAATGTCATACAAAATTTTCAATTTAAGAAAAAGGAACACCTAATAATGGTGTTCCGGGACTACAATAACTTTTCTCGTTAAAGAGATGGGTCATAACTATCTAGCTCCAATATGTATGTGATGCAAAGCTATATGAATAACAGTGTTTTTTTTCATTTTTATGAATGACCGACAAAGCACAACCATCCTAAACAAGATGAATTTGGATCCTTTTATGTAGAAAAATAATTATGTGATTATGTTATTTAATCATAATTATTTATAAATGATGACATAAGAAAGTAAAAATTATATAATTTTTAAACAAGTAATTATGATCAGATAACATAATCACATGATCAATCTTTCATATTAAAGAATTCAAATCCAAACAAGATAAAGTTTGAAACCACTTTGAATTGGTCAATAGTCAACGTTCACACATTAATTGAGCAAATCTCCCCCATCACTTTAATTCTTCGTGCACCTTTTCATTGCTTTAGTTCGGTCATGGTTTTCTCATAAACTCACTAACTCCTGCAAGTTATTTATTTTGGCTATAATATAACGGAAATCATGCTCTCCTGTTGTTGTAGGATAGCAAAAAAATTTCCAACACAAATTTATTTTTTGTGTCACTTAATTTTTTTTTTCTTTTTTAATATAAAATATGGAACTCACATTTAAATTATCTTTACTTTTGTTCTTTCCTGTTTCCATGCAACATAAGAAAACATGAACCCATGATATAATAACCATCATTTACATACATACACATCACCATGTCATTTAGTAATGCTGGCAAATAGTTAGGTCTAGCGGTGCTCTTTGTTTTTATTCTAAACAAACACAAATGAATTTCATTTTATTTTTTAACTAGACATGTCGGTCTAAGCGAAACTCTACTGTGGAATTGTTTACAGGAGAGGGAGGGGAATAAGAAAAAATAAGACAAAAACATACAATAAAACAATAATTATAAATAAATATATCCTTGTTAATAATTTATTATTTACACAAAACTAGTAGTGACACCATAACATAGGCATTCGTTCCTGAGAATAGAAGACTAAATTCAATTTAAATGATTTTGAAAATTCTTCAAAATGTATAAATTTTAAAATGAGAGTCCAAAGGGTGCTGTTTTCTATTATATAGAGTCAAAAGTTGTACATATTTTTATTAATATTTTATTATATAATAATAATTTCTACGGTATACCTTTCATGCAGTTTTTAAAAAAATAGGAAGAATCCATTTTCCATAAATATATGAAGAGACAAAGAGAAACTATAGAGTTTAATTAATAAAATCTAGTCCTTTAATCAATAAACCAATAAAGAAATAGACTTGTTAGGGTTTATGAGAAGATATATTTTTATAATATCTTATTATGTAGTAACAATTTCTATAGAATAGTTTACGTGCACTTTTGACAAACTATAACAAATTTTTTTTTTCTAATTTTACATGAAATTTTTTTTTCATGTTACACTCACAATTAAAATGTGAGATCAATCTTCATTTTTGTATTTTTTTTATTTTTTGTGAACCCCACTCATCCATTGTGTGTGTAACATAAAAAAATACTTATTAAAAAATTAATTCCCTTTGGATAAATATATAAAATAAGGGGAAAGAGAAAGTGTACAATTTAATTAATAAAAAATATTTTAAAACTAAATATAAAAAGCTAGTGATGTTGACTTGCTATATTCTTATTTTTCTCCTGTAAGTAAGTTTATCACTTTTCTATAACTCCGAATAATTACGTGCCTGGAGTGGTGCCAGTACCTTGCCATGATTGTTCACTTTCCACGTGACTAATTATCAACAAAGATTGGCAAATCAAACAATGAAAGATACCCTCGTCTCCTTTACGAACAATTACAAAATATTTGGCAAACTATCAGGCACTAGTGTATATATTGATAGCAAAATCACAACATAAAATGTATGCCTTTGTAATGTATATTAGTCACTTTCTCAATAAAAACGTCATGCACAATGGCTCATAGTGAGTAAAAAGTAATGTTCGGTGAGTCTGTGTGCGTACCGATACCATAGATACATGTATATAATGGGACACTTGTATGAATGGCTAGTTTTGGGACCAAATATCAAGTATTTTTTTTTAAAAAAATAAAAATTGAAAGACTTAAACTACACTCATAATTGTAAAATTCAAATCGGTCTAAACGGTTTTAACTCATAAAATTCTTATGTCTTCAACATCTTCAATAGGGATATAAATAACTCATGTCAAAATCAAGTTTTAATTTAAATGGGTCAGACATATATAAATTATTTCAAGTCTGACTTGACTTATTCGCTTGATATAAGATAAAATATAAGCTCGATCTGACTTGTTTTTTAAAAAATAGAAGGTTTGACCTCACCTATTAAACCTATCAAGCCATAAAAAATAACATATTATATTTTGTAAATTATAGGTTATGATTACGATGTACAGTAGCTAAACACAACCACAATATTGATAATTTAACTACATTGTTGACAATAAAAAAAATGTATCGTATTAATTTTTAATTATAAGATTAAATTTTAATTTAATTTCAAATAAATTAAAAATTTATACATGCACGCATGCACGCACGTGTACACATACACATATATATTTGTATAAAATTGAGCACAAAGTATTTATTTTAGGCTTTTAGCATTAAACAACCATGATATTTAAACATTAGATAAACAACCACCAAACAAGTGAAAATCAATCAAATATGACTAATAAAATAAAAATATATTTGGTAGTCAATTTTTAAAATGGCAAGATTACATTACAATTCAAAATTTACAGAGACAATTCACCTAAGGAGAACAAGATATATACATGTATGCAACACCTATAAGTCAAATAATATATTTTATTAATGGAAATTTTGAAAAGAGGCAATTTTATTAAGGGGCGTTTGATATAAGAGATTTTTTTTTTACCAATAAAAAAAGATTTCGAAGAATATAGTGAAAAACATTTTTTCCCGGGTAAGTTATGAAAAAGTGTTTGATAAGTCAAAATTTTACCAGAAAAGTTGAGTTAATTTACTAACGTTATGTTTGGTTGATGATAAAATATTGATAGGAATCTGATCTAAAATGACCAAAATACCCATCATTTTGAATATTGTTAAAGGCA